CAGCTTCAGCAGGCTCAAGTAGTTCAGGTCAGCTGGAGCTGGTGCTGCTGCTCGCTCAGCTGCAGATCAAGGCGGAGAACTTCGGCGGGGCGGCGAAAACGCTGACTGAAAAGCTGGCCCCCGAGGCGCTGTACCTGCCGGCGGTGCTCTCCACGCTGTACCTCCTGCACCAAAAGGAAGGCAACCAGAAGGCCATTGAGGAGCTGCTGCTGAAGGCCGCCAAGTGGCACGAGGCGAAGAAGGTAAGCGTTTAAAAGAAGTTCTATTTACTAATTCGATTTCTGCCTCCACGCCAGAGCCCTCCGGCCACCCTGGCGAGCCTGTACCGCGAGACAGCGAAGTACTACCTGAACCAGAGCCTGCCGCAGCAGGCGGCCAAGTGCCTGGAAAAGATTGTCGCCGCCCAGAAGGGCCGGCGGCGGGATCCGAAGGTCACCTCGATGCTGATCAACGCCTACTCGCAGTTTGATGCCGCCAAGGCGCAGAGGTAATTCTGTTGATCTGTTGATCTGAACTTTTTGCTTTGCATAAACTAACATTTTACCTTCATACCTTTTGTCAGTCTGCAACAGGAGCTGCCCTCCATCGAGGAGATTCTCTCCAGTGTGGACATTGATCACCTGGAGACGAAGAACTGGTCGCTGGGCATGAAGTACGTGAAGAAGTCCACCAAGCTGGACACTCCGAAGGAGGGCGCCGGCGGTGCCACAACTTCAAAGACGAAGAAGGCGACTGACCAACAGAAGGAAAAGGAGGAGAAGAAGAAGAAGAAGAAGAAGCGGATCCTCCCGAAGAACTACAATCCAAATGAGGCGCCCGACCCGGAGCGGTGGCTGCCTCGCTACGAGCGCTCCAACTACCGCAAGAAGAAGGACAAGAAGGGCGTCGGCAAGGGCACCCAGGGGGCGATTGGCGAGGCGTAAGTTGTTGTTGTTGTGCTGTGTTTTGTGGACTACCATTTCACTGATTCCTATTTTTCTTCTTTCTTTTCCCCAGTCCTGAGATGAAGCCATCTCCAAAACAGGTGATCGCCTCGCCTCAGCCCGGACCACGTCAGCAGCGGCCCACGGCGCAGAAGAAGAAGAAGAAGACGGGCGGACGCAAGTAATAACAACAATAACCACGCCCCCACATTCACATGTTCCATTCAGTTCAGAGGGAAGGTCTCTCTTTTTCCAGTTTTTGTTTTCATTAATTAGTAAAGTTTTGCGCTTTGTACAAAAGAAGGAGAGAAGGAGTTGTGAAAATGTGCAGAGCTAAACAAGGAGAAGAAGAAGATAGGGAGGTAACAGTTTCAAGGAGTTGTATAAAGTTGTGTGTTTTGTGTTAGTTAAGAATATTGCATCACATGGTTAGATGGTCACTGGTGAACTGCTCCACCTCTGCGAAGCACCAGGTGGCCCTCGGTGTTGAAGACGTAGTTGGCGAGCAGCGAGTCGACGATGGCCCGGTCGTCCAGAAAGAGCAGGTAGAGGTACTTGAGCGTCTCGGCGATCCAGAAGGACTCCATCATGTCCTTGGGGCGGACGTTCTTCGGATTGCGGACGTCGTTGACGGTGGTGTAGCCGCCGTTGGAGCCCACCTTGGAGTACCGCTCAAAGGCCTCAAAGACCTGGCGGCCCCACTCGCGGTAGATCGGTTTGCCGGTGATGTGGTAGAGGAAGAAGAGCGACTCGACGAACTCCGGTCGGAGGAGATTGTGCGTGTCCGCCGGCCGAACGGTGAACTCCTTCTCGTCGGGCAGCGTGCCGTAGTAAGCGATCTCCGGGGAGAGGCCCGTCTCCGTCAGGTTGTACATGTAGTGGCAGGTGCGGGCGAGGTCCTCCGCCATCGCCAGGTGGTCGGCGAAGACGGCCGAGGAGATGTTGGCACTGGCTAGCTGGTCAGCTGCCGCCACCGGGTGGCCTCGAAACATGCCGGCATCTTCTGCTTCGCCCCCTTGTGACTTTCGAAGGCCGAAACCGGCCTTCTGGTGGTGGTAGTAGCCGAGGGCAAGGGTGCCCGAGAAGAAGCACACCAGGTGGTCCATCTTCGGGCTGACCACGTCCTTGCGGCTGGGAAAGAGCTCGCCGATGTAGGCGAGGCCCAGGTGGCCCTTGGTGCGGCGCATCAGTCGCCCCTTGATGGCGGCCACGGCGGCGAGGTAGTCGTCGAGGAGAAAGGAGGCGTCCTCTTCGCCTGCTTTCTCCTGGTTCAGCTGCAGGTACTGCTTGAAGAGGTACTCGTAGTAGGAGTCCGCCCGGGCGCCCATCGTCACCACGGCGTTCGTCAGCTGACCTGTAAAAATGAAAACAAAATGTTAGTTTTAGAATGTAAACAAAGCACACTTTCGCACACTTCACCTGTTATGGGACTTATGTACATCGGCAGCAGCGGATCGGCCCGCGACTGCACCAGCTCGTGAATGTGCCTCGTCGTGGCGAAGGACTTCTCCTCGAAGAGCTTGGTGCCGGTCTCCCGACTGAGGTCGCGCATCTCCAGCTGCATGCTGGCCACCTCGGAGAGCGAGGAGTCGGTGGACCAGCGCGGCGCTTTCGGGGCGCGAGTCTTCAGGTTGACGTCGCTGAAGGGCACCGTCCGGCTGGGCGAGTCAAAGCAGTGCACCAGACGGCCACCGAGGTCGGTGGCCTTCTCCAGCAGCACCGCCGAGCTGCTGCTTTGGTCAGCCTCATCATCACCCCTGGCCAGGTGGTAGGCGGAGAGGAGGCCGCCCAGGGCGCGGATGGTCGTCTCGAAGCAGTTGACCTCCTGGTAGATCTCAAAGGAGAGGTCGTTCTTCACCCAGTCGATGCCTTCTTTGTATTCTGGTGAAGTAGAGTAAAGTGAATTGAAAGTATGGCGTTTTAGAAACAGCAGTAAACGCAATCACTTACCCTTCTCCAGACCGGCCATCTGCAGCGTGTCCAGCGAGTCGAGGATGGTGAGGCCAATGTGGAACCAGTTGTGGCCGGTCCGCGAGATGGGCTTCAGGTGGTCGTAGCCCCAGGCGCTGCGCCGGTAGGCCGCCCAGGAGTTAGCAATGGCCGCCTGAATGCGCCTCTGCATGGCCGACTGTCGGCTGGCGGCCGCCTTGAAGTCCGCCGAAGTCAGCAGGGGAACAGGGCCCGAGGGAGGCAGAAGGAGCAGCGGATCGGGGTCGACGACCTTTTTCTTCTTTTCCACATCGTCGTTGTTGTTGTTGTTGTCTTCGTTGTCGCTTCTATCGTCATCGCCGATTTCATTGTCAGCTGATGGCGGCTGCTTTTGTGGCAGATTTGGCTTGGCCAAGGGCTGGTTTTTCTGATTGTTGTTGTTGCTGTTGTAGTGGTGAATCTTTTCTCCCACAAGTTCACCTTCTTGACGGTCTTCAAAGCCCTTCTCATCCTCAAGCTTGGGCGTGTTGGCGGCGAGGTAGGAGTAGGCGAAGATGAAGGCCACCAGGAAGATGGAGCCCAGGAGAAGGTAGAAGCGCAGAATGCGCGGGATTGTGTTCCATTTCTAGAAAAGAAAGAATCATATGGCAAATTAAAAGAAAAATAAAAACAACAAGAACGAACCCTTACCCGACGAAGGTTGGTCTTCAGGCCACTGGCGACCACGGGACTACCTCGACCTCCTCCTTCCAGATCTCGAAGCCCGGAGTACTCCACTGTCATAGCTGCTGCTCCTGCTGCTAAATCGTACTCCCTCGTACTGAATCGCTGTGCAGAGGGACTGCAACAAAATCATAACTTTTTTTGTTCGCAGAAAGCATTCAGTCTACTGCTGACTCAGTGCACCAAATGTGGGCACTAGAGGTGCTGTGCCGACCACTGTTCCATCTGCTAGGAAACCGCTGCTCTTTTCGATGAACTGACCTATGTGAACGGCCCAGCAGCGTGCACTGCTTATCAATGCTCAGGTTTTTCCTCTTCACTCTCCGAGCAGCCAAGCCAAGCTGCTCGCAACAACTTTTTTTATCTAAAAAGTCCCAACACTAAAAAGTAAGTTTTACTTTCAATATCCGAATCATAATATTAAATTTGTTAAAATCTTCTCATTTCCAGGTTAGAGCACTTTGCCACTGGTGGTGGTGGTGCCGGCGGCGGCGCCGGCGCCGGCGAAGAAGTGCAGTAAGTTGATTTTTCTATCTTGTTTTGATTTTTTACCTTGTAAACTCCTGTTTTTCAGATTGGCGCTGAACTTCGAGAAGGCTTACTGCGAGTATCGCCTGAACCAGGTCAACGAGGCGCTAGAAACTCTGAAACTGTCCGATGCAAACGCTGATTTTGCCAGAGGTGAGTTGAAAATTCAGGCGGTAAGTGATTGATTTTTTAAAAACCTGATGTGTAATGACTTTCTTTTTCTTTTTTGCTCAGCTGTATCGCATCGAGGACTACGAGCAGTCCTACGCCAGCTACAACGAGCTGATCAAAAATTCCGATGACGACTACGAGGATGAACGGTACGTCAACCTGACTGCGGTCCTCGCCGGCCTGTCGCTGGAGAAGGCTGGCGACGTCAACGACGCGGACTTTCTCGACCTGAGCGAAAATACCTACGAGATCGTCTACAACAAGGCGTGCATCCTCATCGGCAAGGGCCAGTACGAGGCGGCGGTGAAGAAGTTGGAGCAGGCGGAAGGTAAGTTTACCGTTCAGCAAAGATTACCACAAAACAACAACAACAACTTTTTCTTTTAGAGTCCTGCCGAAAGTTTCTCGAAGAGGACGGCGCCAATGAGGAGGAGATCGAGGCGGAGTTGGCCATCATCAAGGCGCAGATCGTCTTCTGCCAGCAGAAGCTCGGAAAGAGCGAACTCTCGCTGAAGAACTACANTTGGAGCAGGCGGAAGGTAAGTTTACCGTTCAGCAAAGATTACCACAAAACAACAACAACAACTTTTTCTTTTAGAGTCCTGCCGAAAGTTTCTCGAAGAGGACGGCGCCAATGAGGAGGAGATCGAGGCGGAGTTGGCCATCATCAAGGCGCAGATCGTCTTCTGCCAGCAGAAGCTCGGAAAGAGCGAACTCTCGCTGAAGAACTACAATCAGATTCTTCGGCAAAAGTATCTGTTGTTTACATCGTGATTTAGAATTTCTATTAACCTTC